TGCAGGAGGCCCAGGGTTTTATCTCCAGTATATAAAAAAAATAATCCTAAACAGAGTCTAGATTTATGACCTACTAGCTAAAGGCTGTTTCAAAGTTATTTATAAAGGCAAGAAGTTGAAAATTTAAATATAAGCCTTTATAGGTAAATAAATCACACAGCATTCATATAGAGGAATATTTTGTGATATGTAAGAATAATATTTATGTTGTATTTTTAATGACACAGAAAAATTCCTTCATAAAAGCACACAGGATAAGGACTGGCGTCTATGATTTTATCTCAGCTGAGTTCAAGTGCACAAAATAATGACAAGAAAGGTATAATAGCAAACGAAGTGTGTTGTATCTGGGAGGCAGAGTGTGAGAAACTCCTTTTCTGTCCATTTATGCATTTCTAAAAGTAATATGGAGACAGATAAGAAAAACAACTTTCTGGTCCCTATCCTGAAGGGAGAAGAAGCCCTCTCCTGAGTAGTGTGACTGAGAAAAGACAGATATTCAAAACTTACCCAACGCTATCTGGAGTTTAAGATGGAAATATATTCTGAAAATACCATGAATTAATCAGATTTTAAGGCAAAAGCTATTTTTTTTTTTTTTTTTTTTTTTTTTTTTTTTTTTTTTGTTAAACTTGTTCTTTCAGTTAGGAGTTTTGCTGGTCCAGTAAAGGGGCAGTAGTAGATTCTCCTTGAAGATTCATGATCTCACCAACCTCTGATGGTTGATTAGATTTCTTGTACTAGGCATGATTTCCCTCCTATTGAGCAGAACTTAAGTCCAATTAGACTTGGCTACTACCAAGATAGGAGTGCCATAATTTCACCTTAGGGATGTCCTGTCATTCTGATTATTGGTGTGATTTATAGGAGTCACAGCTAGATAGGGCTATTGATTGCTTCCTTCCTTGGACAACTTTCATAGTACCTTCTGGTACTAAGAGAGCTAGACCACAGGAAGGGGGATTTCAGGTTAGATTCAGTTTGAATCTTCTGAGTCCCATGTCTAAATTGTTTAATGCCTTCCACAGTTCCCGAGAGGCATCCAGAGACAACAGCAATAGCCTAGATTGTCTCAGGAGTCACTTGGACTACCCTGAGCAAAAACTTGGAGATGTCTCATGTTTTGTATTGGGGTTTTTGTTAGATAATCTATGACTCTTGTGGGAAGCATTGTCAGCCCAAGCGACATAACTTCATTTATCTTTATACCTACAAATAAGCAAAACTATCACTCTATATCAAAGCAAATCCTTTTTACAGCAGAGATCAGTACAGAAAACCAAAACTGATCATAAGATAGAGATCAAAGCCCCAATAGATACATATATCCATTATACAACTTCTGCACCAAGACTCAGGGAACATCATGGGGCAGGGGGCAGAAAGATTGTAAGAGCCAGACAGCTTGTAAGTCTTCTATGAGATTATGTAAATGACAGGGAAGCTACAAAATGGACAATATGGCTGTCTAAACAAGGCCTGAACAATGACAATAGCAATGCATAGGCTAACAAAGAAGGGGAAATAATCTCATGGGGTCCTGTCCCTAGACAAAGAACTACAGATCATGAGTCTTCTGAGGAGGGAAAGTTAGTCTATCTGAAGGATGACCTCTCTACTTGGTTATCCAATACAAATTGTTCAACTCAGAAATCATATACACATAGCAACACTAAACGGATTCAGCAGATTGTGTGTGTGTTCCATGTATGTAACAATAATAAAGAAAAGGGGGTATCAATTTGAGAAAGAATGAGGATGGACATTGAAGAGCTTAAAGGGAGGAAAGTGATAGCAAGATAATTATATTTTAATTAAGATTTAAGAAAGAAAAAATAGTGTTTATGTGGGATATTTTGTAGAGAATTCACCTGCCTTAGCCCCTGGATTGCTGTTATGGCAGACTGTGAACGGCTGTTGGATAGTATGTAGATAGATATTACCAGGACCTATGGAGCTCCTAAAATTGTAATTTAGTGTCTCCATGCATATGCATTTTACTTGGACTGGAAACCATAGCTTTTATGTGATTCTATAAGATACCTTTGTATCTCCTAAAGTACTGGAGGCTCTGTAAGTGAGTTTCATGCTAATCAAAGCCAAGTGATTGCATTTAGGAGACAGACGACAGAAGCTCTCTCTAGCTCCTATCTTTGGATGGCTGACCCCAGGGATGACGTCCTAATTCAAATCAACCAAATTGCATTGAGAGAAAACTCATGTTTAGCTGAAATGCAGGTGATGCCACAGTTTTCGGGACTGTGTTTTACCACAAAGTCAACCTCCCCGAACTCTGGAAAAGCTTACTTGTAACCTGTGTTCTTCATTGTATATAGTAAAAGAATAGAGCAGGAGAAAATCTTCCCCTGGGAAAAGCCCCCTAAATGATCACCCCTGAAATCATACATATGCAGTAATATTATATGGACTGAGCAGATTGCATTTATATATTTAAGAAAATAATATATATATATTTATATATGTAATGCATTTAAATTAATAAACAATTTTGTTAAAAGTTCTCATAGCTTTTATTCCTGCACCTCAGTTAAACGGATTTTAACTGAACAAATTTTGCCTTTATAGCCACTTAGTAGGGAAAACTTTAATTTGTTTTATGTTTGCAGAAGGTTAGGGCAATTAATATTGTAGAAACAGTGCCATACATAGTTTGAGGGATAGCTATGAATATAAGACAACGCATTAGCTTAATTCTCTCCAGAGAATGGCTTATCACCCACACCAGCAGATGTGGGTTGTGGTCTTCAGAACAGATGCTTTGCTAAAGAATCCACAGTGGGTTATGAGAGGCTAGTGACTAGCTCTGGCTTGATGGACCCACATTGACAGTAACTTATTGATAGTTGTAGACCAAAGCGACAGCTTTACTATCCATTTAATACAGTTTGACTTTGTCCCTCAGAAGTTCATACTTGGGAAACTTAATTCTCATATTAATATGTTAATGTATCTGGAAGTCCGTTAGGAAGCATTTCTGATTGGATGAATTCATGGGGTAGCTTTTATGATGGCTTTATAAGATCAAGAGAACTGAACTAACATACTTGCTGTGGCATGCATGTCATTTGATCCCTCACTGTGTTTTGATGTAGGAAGATTGTCCTCATCCCATACCAACCAGACACAAGCACCATGCTCTTGGACTTCCTGATTCCATAAGTGAAAACCAAACCAACTTCTGTTTCAGAAAATGCATGGTCTCATATCAAATATCTGAAATCAGGCTAAGGTACCACATGTAAAAAATACTACTCAAAATGGAGAGGCCAGAGATTTGGGGGCTGTGCTGGGCACCAAAGATGTGTGTAAACTGAGATAAACCATCATGTCTATCAGCATAACTGTCTGGGTTCTTGTCTATAGAAAAAAACTCTGATTTGTTTTGATTTCCATGACTATATTAACTACAGAAGTTTGAGTGACTCTGATGAAGTCTTGGGGAGGTTTGGAGGCAAGCCAAAAGTTCTAAGACAGGAAAATACTATTTTTTTTTTTATAAATAGTTCTACATTGTGGCTATAACAAAACGCATGAAAAGATCTTTGAAGTATTGAAGCACCTCCATGTCTTCACACCACAGTTTTCTTACTTTTTATTAGATAACTTATGGCTTGCAAAATCCAAAGCAGATTTACCACAGTGGCAATCTGGAAAAAAGTTGCTGTCTCCTTCAGTTGTTTACCAGCAAATTTTGCTTTGATCTACAGAGAGTTCTTGGTGGATGAAATATACAGCAACCCTATAAACCATGACCCAAGATAAGACACTATTTATAAACATTTCTTAGAGCAGCAAAGGAGAGAAAACTACAGAGGAAGGGGATATCTTGGTGAAAAATGAAACTCACTAATCTTAATTTTTCATTATTGAAGGTTGTTTTTTTTTTTTTTTAAGTCCAAGCCAACAGTCCTTGGCACTACTGACTAGAAACAGGATATTTCACAGTATTTCTGTGATGTGGGATTCCCCTTTGTATGTTGTGAATGTGTTTTATTATCATTGGTTAATAAAGAAGCTGCATTGGGCCTATTGCAGTGTAGAATAGAGCAAGGTAGGAATTCCAAGTAGAGATAGAGGAGAAAAGAGTCAGAGAGATACCATGTAGCAATCAAAGGAGAAAGATGCTGAACATAACCTTACCAGCGAACTATGAGCCCTGTGGTAAAATACAAAATAATAGAAATGAGCTAATTTAAGATGTAAGAGTTATTTAACAAAAATCCTGAGCTAATAGGCTGAGCAGTGTTTTAATTAATGCAGTTTCTGTGTGATTATTTCAGGTCTAGGTGGCTGGGAAATGAATGAGCAGCCTCTGCTTACAGAATGGTGCTGCATGTGAGCTGACTACATACAAATAAAACCTGAGAGAGCTTGGGAAGAAATTCTAGACTCAAAAGAACAGAGTTAATCATAGCTTCTTGGTAGCCACATATTTTCAGATAGGTTCTGTTTGCTGGTGGCAAGCAGGGGTGCCTCGACTCCTTTAAGAAGTCTTCCTGACTCAGCAGTAGCAGCAAAAACTTTGTGAACTGTTCTTGACTCTTTCAGGAGACCAAGCACTTAAATGGGGTTTGTGAGCAGAGTGCTACAACTTTCTTAATGGCAACATAGATCCATTGTGTGCCTAAAAACGGGGTTGTGAGTATGGTTTGCAGAGCTGGTGCTGAATGTACCTCTGCCATGTTGGACTGGGTGGAGCCAAAAGGCAAAGCAGCCTTAGTCCTAGCCATGCTGTTTAGCATTTTAAGAAGTTGTCCTGGTCAGAAAAGGATTATAGCTATAAAATAAAGACAAATTCAGGTGGAAAAGAACTCTAAATGTGTCACAGAGCTGAATAAATGTACATAGGCTTGGGAGAGGGAAGAAAAAGAATACAGACAGTTATAAAGGAAGTAAATGCTTTAAAAATAAAACAAAGTCTTTAAAGAGACAGAGTACAGACAGCCATAGATTAAATGAGTAATATACATCTAGAAAACCTAACTAACATGACTACAAGCTTGACTATTATAGATAATAATATATTAACCTATATTTTTAAATTATACATTACATTTTAAAATAAGCTGCACAAACACAATGCCTTAATCAAGAGCATATATATAATAAATAGGTCATATAAAATTGACCTTAAATTTGTATCAATAAACCAAGATCCATACCAATGTAAATCTCATAGCATATCCTCCTTTAAATGTAAACAAACATTTATAAACAATATTTGGGAATTTGGGCCTAGTTCTCTTCAAACTGCTTCCTGCTTTTTGTTGGGGAACGTAATTTTTGGGGGTGTTCACAGCAAACTTTGGGGGGAGTCTTGGTCCATCAAGCTACATTAGTCTGGAAGGAATCCATAGGTTCTCATCCTCTGTGGAAACAAAAGAAGAGCCTCTTTTCCAAAGCAACAAATTTTGAAGTCAAGATACCTTTAAAAAATATATATGTTGGTTTAGCTTAGCAGCCCATACAATAAAATGTCTCTCTGTACTTAGTTCATTCACAGTCAAAAAAATTCAAATTTAACAATAATATACTTAATCCAGACTTTCTGTGTATTTTCTATCTTTATGTGGCTTATTTTTCTTATTATATTACTTTTTCTACAAGTTTACTCTATTTAAAGACTTTGTTCTATTTTTTAAAAAGCCATTCACTTCTTTTTATAACTTTCTATACTCTTTTTCTTCTCTCTCCCAAGCCTACATACATTTTAAAAACATACTGTCACCCATTTAGAGGTATTTTCCATCTGAATTTGTCTTTATTGTGTATCTGTAATTCTTTTCTGTTCAGGATGGTTTCTTCAAATGCTGTGTGGTGTGACCAGGAATAAGACTGCTTTGTCTTTTGGCTCCGCCCAGTCCAACATGGCAGAGGTCTGTTTACTGCCTCTGTGAGCCATGCATACCACCTTAGTTCCAGGTATGCAGCAGATCTATGTCACACCATTAAGCAGTTTGTAACATGCTACTCAAAACCCAAATTAAACGCTCTGTATCAGGACCTCCTGAAAGAATCAGAGTTGTTTGTGCAACTAGTATGAACCAGGAAGAGTTTTTAAAGGAGTCACATAGTTTTTGCTGCTACCGCTGAGTCAGGAAGCCTTCTCTTAAAAGAATCGTGCCTCTGCTTGCTTCTAGCAAACAGAGCCCACCCAAGAAAATGCTGCTACCAATCAGCCATGTTCAGCTCTGTTCTTTTGTGTCTAGAATTTCTTTTTAAGCTTTCCCAGGTTTTCCATGGATATAGTTGATCATGTTGGGCACCAATCTGTTGGCGGAGGCTGCTCATTCATTCCTGGCAGCTCAGATTCGAAATAACCACACAGAAACTATATTATTTGCAATACTGTTTGGCCAATAGCTTAAGCATATTTCTAGCTAGCCCTTACATCTTAAATTAACACATTTCTATAATTTTATGTTTTACCACAAGACTTGCAGCCTACTGGCAAGGTTCTGGCTGGCGCTCGCATCTTTATCCTCTAGCGGCTACATGGCATCTCATTGACTCCATTTACTTTCTCCCAGCATTCAGTTTAGTTTTCCTGCCTAGCTCTATTTTGCCCTATCACAGGCCAAAACAGCTTCTTTATTCATTAATCAATAAAAGCAACACATATGCAGAAGGACTTCCCACACCAATCACCCAACATAAGTATTGTGCTAATCATGACACAAAAGCTTGGAGAGCTTTGGGGCTGGTAGAGGTCTCGAGTGGTCAGGAGGCTCTCAGGAGACTCATATAAACACTGGGCCATCTTCCAAAAATTTGAGATAATTATTAAAAAAATCTGTTTTTAAGAAAGCTCTGTGAGACATTAAAAGAGAAGCTAAAATTGGTCATGTCCTGGTTTTATTTGCTGTTGCTGTGGTTAAAATACCTTGACAAAGGCAACTTTAAGGAGAGAGAATTTGTCTCACAGTTTCAGGTTACAGCACATCATAGCAGGTAATCACAAAGGTAATGGCTTCAGAGAACTGATCACATATTCATAGTCAAAAGCACAAAGTAAAGAATTAACATGTGCATTCCTGGGCTCAGTCACTTCCTCCACTCTTACACAACTCAGAATCTCATGCTGAGGGACGAGTGCCACCTTCTTTTATTTAGCAGTGTCTCTCCTCAGCCTGGAGACCACAGAATAGGCAATGTTGACTGGCCAGCTAGCCCTAAGCATCCACCTGTCTCTGTCTCCCTAGTGCCAGGATTATATGCATTTGACACTTCTCTTGGATATTTTTTTTAAATGTGGAATTAAGCTCCCATGCTTACAAAGCTCTCATGCTCACAAGACAAGAACTTTTGGATGACCGAACTCTCTCCCCAGTTCTATGAGTTCATTTTTAATTGAAATAAAAAGCTGTAGGAACTATATCTTAAAATGACAGCCCTTGGCAAAGGACAAGCACTTTAGAACACATTCAAATACTAATCCATAGCATCAGTGGGATACAGGCCCACTCAGATACGACCATTATAACAAAAACGGCACAATTATTTCTGGAACTCAGCAAGGCAATAAATAGCAAATACTTTACAGCTTAAAACCTCTTTTGCTCCCTAGCCTTCATTTGCCCAGTAATTTATATCAAACAAATTACTAAAGGCTTAGTTCCAAGGTTATCACTGAGATATCTCTTAAAAATATAAAATGTGATAGAAATGCGAAACAAAATGGGTTCCATAAATAACCTCTGTGAAAGTTATACATAACAAAATGTTGTAAAAAAAAAGACAATTTTAGCTTTAGGAAGATGAAGTGTTAACAGAGGCCCACACCTACACAAAGAACTATAGGCAGCTAGTGACTGCTGAGGGTGGGAGAATTAGCTTCTTCCAGGGATGGGCACACCAGTTTGTTACCAAATAAGCATCAAAATGGATAGAGCAGGTTGTGTTTGTGTGTGTGTGAACAATTACAAACAAAAAGAAGCCATTAATTAGAGAGGGAGATGGGGTTGGGGAGACCATGGGGTAAGCAGAGAGAGGAAAAGGGAAGAAGGAAATGACAGAACTATATTTTAATTAAAAGCATATTAAATAAAAATAAGGGTTTAAATGATAGTTGACTGCATGGTGGGCAATGCTCTTCTAAGAAACTATAGGTTATTAAATGAAATACCAAGTGCCAGATATGAAATAACTTCCTATGAGTTGTTGGTCTGTAAGATTTTCAGAAATCCCCAGAACAATGCAGGCTATGGCTCTTCTTCTTGGCTGTCAACCAGAACTATGATGCCAGTGACCTATTTCTGATGACACCACACAGTCTGGTTACATAACACACAGAAATCCAGCTGAAATTGAGCAATAGGCTTCCTGCATGGTCACTGGCTTTCATAGCACCGGAAGATGCTGTGCAGGCTGCTGAGTGAGAAAAACCATCAACAAACTTATTAGGCTGTGATGCCTTCACACACAGTATCAACCTGCCAGGGAGGATGTGCCCACAAGTTAAAAAGCAAAAAGGAAAAAGTTGGGGTGTTGAGATACTATGAAAAAGTAGTATATTAATCAGAAAGTGCAGGGTGACCTCACTTTGTAATATAAGCAACTTGGCAGTGGGTAGAGATGGGAGAAAGGTGTTAGACTCCAGGTCTAGGGTGGTCACATGGCATGGAGACCTGTCTGGAATGCACTTCTCCAAAACCCAGTGCTTTCTTATCCTTCCCTTCCATACATTCCAGTTTAACCCCTCCAGTCCCATTATTCTCATTTAAGTCTTTATAACATGGAGTTCTTTCTCCCCTCTCTTGAAAGCCCCAATATAGGGTTACTATTTCCCTGATATCTACATGGCTTATAAATATACATAAATACTTGAAGATTCAGAGCTAACAGTCACAGATGAGAAGAGTGTGATGTCTGTCTGTCTTCTTGAGTCTGTGTTAGCTCACTCAGAATGATGGTTCTAAGCCCTATTCATTTACCTGGGATTGTCATAATTTTTTTCTTAACAACTGAATATTATTCCATTTTGTAAATATGCCACATTTAATTATCCATTCATCAGTTGATAGATATCTAGGCTGTTTCCATTTACCAGTTGTGTACTGTGTTACCATGGGCAAAGGGGTAATTTATAATCTACTCCTGTGTAACAAATTGTCCCTAGACTTACAGCGTGGGTTATCTCACATAGTTTCTGAGAGTTAGGAGTTTGGCAGGAATTTACCTTGGCCTTGATAGCTCAGAGTCTCTTATGTTGCCCAAGCTTGTTTGGGGGGAGATCTGCTTCCAAGCTCACGTGCTGCTATGTGTGGAGCATTAGGTTCTCTCTGTGTGATGCTCCCAGTGAAGCTTCTCAATGCATAACTCATAGCCCTGACTATGGAAGAAAAGAGGGAGTGAGGGAGCACAAGAAATACACACACACACACACACACACACACACACACACACACAGAGAGAGAGAGAGAGAGAGAGAGAGAGAGAGAGAGAGAGAGAGAGAAACAGACAGACAGAGAGAGATCTCAAGACCAAAATTGTGGTGTTTTATACAGCAACCTTAGAAGTGGCAAGCTATTTTTCTGCCATATGCTATTGGACACACATACTAATTCTGGTGCATTATCAGAAGGAATTTCACAAAGATGAAGTTCTTAGAGGCACAAGGTCAAAGTCAAAAGTCATCTTGGAAGCCATGGAGAAGAGAAAATTGGACAAGGTAAGGAAGGGAGGGAACCATGATGCTGTGAGAATAGAAATTTGGAGATATTATAGACTAAATATTGGTCTCAACAGCTTTTGAAGTTTCAGTTTGGAAGTGAGCTCATTTATATCCTTGAGGGTCACATGGGCCAGATTACCACATAGAAAGGACATGGGATTAGACTAAACATCTCGCTGCCCATTAGAGAAAACTGTGGTGTTAGATTAAACTGATTATTAATGGTCACTTTATAAAACATGTAGCCTGGTGTCCAGCTTTATTATTTTAAAGGGGCTGTATCAGTGCTTGTCAAAATTCAGGAAATTACTAAACTGGCTCACCTGCCCGAGAGAAA